ACCACTTCCTTCCCATCGACGCTTCATTCATCCACTGAGCAGTAAGTGGAGTTGAGGTTGGAGAAAGAAGCAAAAGTTTCACCTCTTCATTAGAACAAGTTTTATTAAATTGGCTAGTTTTTCTTTAAAAGGTTAGATTTTTAAAATGGAAGACGACTTTAAAATTATTCCTCCATGTTCACTGGTCGTTTCTGTGCGTCTCTCTGATGCATCCTCCAGCAGATGTATGCAAGCATTAGCCAAGCACCGCTTCTTCTTGGGTACAGAGGAAATGCCTGTGGCATCCTGGACATCTGTATTACCGTGAAAGGGCTGTCAGCATACCTACATTCTATAATTTTGCTAGGAGGAAATATTACAGAAACTTCAAAAGAATTTCTGCATAATGAACTTAGGCCTGATCACAATATCTATTAATCATTTAAATAAAGCAAAACAGAGTCACCCTCGTATGCATTAAGCACCTAAGTGATGGGCTAGCGTGATTATTCGCATGTGCTGAGTCAGGGCCTGCTGTCAGCCTGCATTTTGCTTAGCACGAGAAGTGAGCATTGCGCGCCATTTCCTTAGCTCCCCCAGCTCTTCCTTCATTACTGGAAGTCAGAGATCAGCTCCTCCTGCCGCCCTCTCTCTGGTCCGCCCATGGCCCTTCTTCCAGCTGGCATCCAGATTTATGGGATTTCCTTTTCTTCTTCTGAAATCAGCCTTTTAAATTCCATTTGCAGTACACCACTTTGTTCTGTCTCTGATTTAAATCAGGTTGGCACGGCTTGGAGGCTATTCAATAATCTCTCAGGAAATCTTGGCATTAGGGGAGGGAAAGCCTCCCACAAAACCACCTTTCTAGCAGAGCGAAATGAAAAGAGCTTCCCCCCAGGAATCAAAACAGCCCCACCCTCCATGCTTTGTTTCTCTTATTTTATTTTTACTAAAGTCCAAATGTCACCACATCAATAGTACCTGAGTGGAGCCGCTGAATGTTCTACTGAACAATTTACACAGACTCTTCGATATCCAAACTCCAGGTCAACTTGCTTTAACCTCATGATGGAGAAAGCTTCTCACTTGTCTTTGTTGTTAGTCCAACCTTTGTGATAAAGGGGTAGATAGTGTGAACCTGGCTTTAGGAGACATGTCCAGGTCTTTTCTCCCTTTCCCTTGGAATTTATATGAAGGAGGTAGCAGGACATATACTGCGCATTACACCAGGGATTAAGCACATTTTTTGTGTGTAAGAAGCATAATCAGAATACCCTAATCCAGTGTAGGACTAGGCAGCCATTGAGGAATGATTCAAATTGACATTTGAAGAAATAGAAATGTAGCTGTAAAACACTGTTATACTTAAAAAGTTTAAAAAGCCATTATAAATGAAGTCTTGTGATTTTATACATCACTATGCAGATGATGGTTTTTCTAGGTGATAAAATATTAGACCTATATTATCTAAAACTTGCATTGTCCCTATGTGGCTACCTTGTTTTATCTGAAAATTAATTAAGATTAGATAAAATTTAAGTCAGTTTGGGGGAAGGTGACCCACGCAAGAGGGGGGTGTTTAAAATGGTGACATTTCATTAAACACATGTACCAATTCCCCAAGGTGAATGCATTATGTATTGCAAACACATAGTAATAGAAAGATTAACCAGGACTAGGGAGATAGCTCAGAGGTCTAAGTGCCTGCCTCGCAAGTGCAAGATCCCAAGCTTGATCCCTGGTACACATACCATGCAGGCCCCGGATTCCTGGGCACACTGGGTGAGCCCAGAAACTGGGCCTGATGGGGCATGCCGATAATTCCAGCACTGGGGAGGCTGAGACAGGAGGATTGGTATGATTTCAAACTGCATCAAAAAATAAAAATAATGAAACACAAGAGAGACTAACCAAAAAGTAAAAAACAATTTGAAAAAAATTCTGTTTCTTACGTGCACTGCTCGTGTTTCAGGTGCCCAGTAATCATCGGGTGTACTGGCTGCTCAGGGGCTGGCACAGACGGGGGACCTCTCCTTCCTGCAGACAGGTCAGCTGAGCAGAGTGGGGTTGGGTGGTGCGCACTTTGCTTGTGTTTTCGTCTTCTTGAACTTTTTACTATTGTTATACATTACTTTTATAATCAAAATAGCAGTGAAATTATTTTCACCTGGGCAAGGTTCTGTGCTATCAAAATAAATGTAGACTGAAGGAAACCCGCGGCCAGATTTACTTTACCTATCAGCATTCATCGTACTTAAATGTCTACGCTGAAGTTACTGATAACTGAAAGTAAATCTTTGGACAGTGGGTTTACTTTGTTATCTATCTAGTACATGGAACATTCTACAAATAAACAATCCATAAGCTGCAGATTGTATGCTTTTCTGAGGAATATGATAAAATCCTGGGTCGTCTTGGGGCTGGGGAGATAGCTCCGTAGAATAAGTGCTTGACTGGCAAGCACAAGAGCCTGAGTTCAATTCCAGGATCCGTGAAAAAAAAGTCCTGGCCGCCCCACCCTATCTTGTCCGGGATGGGAATCACGTCCTTGTCTAGCGTATTCATAGCATGTCCAGCCCATTAATTGCTGGCAGCCGCTTTGATTCTTGTACTGTTGAAGTGCCAAAGTGCTTGCATTCAAACAACCCTTACTTTACGTAAGAAAGACCCCCAAATGCAAGAATAATGATGATGGTAATTAGGAAAAGGCAAAGAGAAGCTGTAAAGTGTGTCTTGTCGTGAGCAGGATGAGCACAGTGCACTGATGTCTAGAGAGAGACCACATTCAGCCTTTATTATAATCATTAATATTCTATTATTATTATTGTTAATAATTATACTTTGACTATTTCAAAATTAAACTTTATGACAGCTGTCTGGACAGGGGAAAACCCAGCACATTTTGGGGTTTAGCCTTATTCCTCTGCGTCCACTGTGAGTCTTGGATGGATTCTGCCCGGATGAAGGGCAGCTGATTTACCTGTCATCTGTCTACGTACTCTTTGCCTGTCTGCCTATCAATCAACTGCCTATTTACCTACCTATCTAGCCTTTACTTTGGCCTGCCCATCTGAGTTTTGATGTTTAAGAACTTAATTTTTATCATTTAAAATTTTAAAAAAATGTTGAGAACCTGAATTTTGCTTCTTTTAAGAAAGAAACAGCTCTTGTAAAATTTCATCTAGAGGTTTGCAGGGAGGCTCCACGGGACCCGGGAGAGCCTTGGTGCCTTCAGCTAAGGCACATGCTGTCGTGTTTACTGCAGTGACAGCTGCCACCGTTTTCTCGGCTCGTGGAGTGCAGCCTGTGGGTACATTTATGAGTCCATCACTGTGCTTGGCCATTTGGGCTGAGGTCTGCTTTCTACTTTAAGAATGGCCAGCACTATTTGAGTGGATGTGGGGTCACCTGTGGGGCTAAGTGGTGTGACATAAGAGACATGAGATGCAGGAACCCTATCATACCTCAGTTTGGCTTAGACAACAGTGTACCATTGTGTCTACAAACTTCTGTCACTGGTTGTGATGTGCTCGATGGACCTTGATTAGTAGGGTTCACTGTCACTATGCTACAGAGTATACATGGTAAAGCAGAGTAATTAAACTTGAATGTACAGAGGAGCGGTGAGCCAAAGTCAAAACTCTCCTCAATAGTGTGACACACAATAAGATGTCTTTAATTCCAACGAGTCATTTCTTATCCATTTCTGTACTTTACAGAAAAATATTAATCAAAGGGGTCATTTAGTCTTACTTGGATTTCTAATCAGGCATGGGTGGAGCCACATGGATCTCCCACATCAACACACATCTAGGGCTTTACAGGCAGTTCTGAAGCAGGCAGAACACTTTGTGCAGTCGTGTTCAGAGAAGCCATCTGACTCTCGCGCAGCACTTGCTCTCCAGGATTACGCTCCTCTACATTCTTAGATTCAGGATTTGTTTTGCAGCTGTTTCAACCCACTGCTACTTTTTGAAAGTTTTAAGTTTTTGGACAGGGCTCATTCTTCATCCATGCAACTGTAAGGCAAAATGGGGCCTGCTGTAGAGACATATGTGGGCAAGGAATATTTCCCTAAGATAAAGAAAATCCACAAAGGTATTTTAGGTGGACAGAGTAGAACATCTTGGGGATATCCACTTCTCTTTACTTCTGTATTTCAGTAGTTCAAAAGGCTCCACTGCTTTGTGTTGTAAATATTTTCCATGGGCCCATGAACATAATTTTACGCTTGCTAAAGATTAATTGCAGATCACACTGAAGAAAGGTGCCTTACAAGTAAAGGGAGACAGTTGTGGTATAGGAAAGCCCCTCTGGAATTGGGAATATAACCCTTTTGTGGGAGCTGATGATGAATATTTTGGAGATTATTTATTCTCTCCAAGTTTTCTTTTATTGTGGCAAAGGGAGTGAACTAGGGGCTCTCCAGTGAGCTACATTTCCAGCCCTTTTAAAAAATTCAGAGACAGCGACTCTCTAAATTGCACAGGCAGGATGAAGGAACTTTTGATCCTTCTGCCTCAGCCTCCCACAGTGCTGCGATTACAGGCATGTAGCCTTAAGCCTGTCTATGTATTATCCTTTTTAACAGCTAAATATACCTTTCATTTTTGAGGAAAAAAACTGATTTGGATCGAATTGTCTTTTTGACTATTTCAGAGAAATTTCAAGCAAACCAGTATAACCATCTTCATTTCAGAAATAGAAAAAGCCAAAGCCAAAGCACAGCGCAGTGCGGAGAACCCAAGTAAACCAAACCCAACTAAGGAACAAACAACAACAACAACAACCAAACAGCGCGGGGGAGAGGGAGTTGTGCACACTCGGAGCAGAGGGCGGGTAAGGAAACGCTTAGTGTGCCTTGGAGGCTTTTCGTTTCCCAGCTCTGTAGGCTCTGCTGCCCCCTCTAAAAATGAGCAAAGGAGGAGAAGCTGCAAACTTCTGCAAGGAAGGGCTGCGGACAGTTTCTGGGAGGGATCCCTAGGAAACCTGCAGCTTCGGCTGCTAGGTTCACGCTGCTCGTAGACTCAACCAGAGCCTGGGTAGAGAGAGGACTGGGTAGAGAGAGGACGCCAACGCCGGGCAGCGGACATCCCTGGGGCGCAGGTCCTGGAGGGGCTGGGTGAGGAAGGCTCTGACAGCCAGCTGGGAAAGAGTGAGCTGTGGGGTGAGGGGGTGGGGGGAGGATAGGGAGGGGCGAGAGAGAGACAGAGAGACAGAGAAAGTGAGAGAGAGAGAGAGAGAGAGAGAGAGAGAGAGAGAGAGAGAGAGAGACAGAGACAGAGACAGAGACAGAGACAGAGAGACAGACAGTGCCATCTGCGGACCGCTGCTTGCCTTCCCTTCCGCTCTCTGCTGCACCTGGGTTCTGACCCGCTGGACCCACGAGGTCGGAACCTGTCCGGGGGCGGGGTGGGGTGGGGGTGCAAGGGCTCGGCTCAGCTCGCTGGGCTGCGGCTTTGGGGCGGCGCTGTCCTCCGCGGGGTCCTCGCCTCCCGGCTCTGCCGCTTGCTCGCCCCGGAGCGGCGGACCCGCTCCCGCTCCCGGGCAGCCGCTCCCAGGAGTGGCGGTGAGTGACCCCGATCTCGCCCAGGACTCGAGTCCTCAGGGTCCGGGGCGGCGGGGGCGCGGCCGGGTGGGGTCGAGGGGCGCGGGCAGCCCTGCTTTCCGAGGTCACCGGCCCCTCCCTCTCCGCGGAGCTCGCCCCACGGCTGGGGCTTCAGCAGGGACCCTAAGCTGCCCGGAGTCGCCTCTTGCACAGCTGCACGCCTGTCAGGGTAAGGTCGCGCTGCCTGGGACGACGGGCTGTGCCCGCCTCGAGCTGCCTCCGAAGGCGCAGGGAGAGAGCCTGGGCAACAAAGGGACTTTTCAGCTTGTTAAACAGGGTTGTGGCCTTCCCACCTCAGGGACATGAATAGGCCAGGAGGCCAGACCCTGGGACGCTGGCTCTCAGGCGGAGAGTGGGTCCTGCCCTGCATGCTGTCGCCGAGAGTTGGCTTTTCTCACGTCCCAGGGCAAACTACACAGGCAACTAAAATGCGTGTGGCATGCTTTCTTGGATTTTTCCGTGGGCAAAGATTCCTGGATGATGTCGCATTTGATAAGATGTCAAGAAAGAACCATCCGAGAAGTGCTTAGGTAGGAATTGGTAGTCAGGGCAGGAAGCCGTCTCGGACTCATTTGAAGTACTTCCAATCTTTGGGAAAGGGAAAAGAAAGGAAAAAAGAAGCCCTGGAATTCATTGCTTTTCTAAATGTTTCTGAAACAAAATCTGTAAATGTATTCAAAGAAATTGTAGCGTTCAGAGCTCTCAAACTTCCGGAACGTCATGACCCGTCTCCTATGGCCTTACTTCAAGGGCTTTGCCCTGGCCAGCCCGTGGTGTACGCTCTGGGCGTCTGCGCTGCCTGTGTGCCCTTTTCTGCACTTCTTTCTCTTCCACTTTCCCCAAAGGACTGCGCCACGCTAGTCTGCTCTAGCCGACTCTGACCCCACTGGAGGCCAGTGGTGTGGGGAGGAACAGGACTAGGGTCCACCTGCTGACCGCTTAGAGATCAGCAGCCCCTCCACGGACCGAAGAGAAACAGCAGGAGCCCTGGGTCAGTCAAACGAACTCGGCTTCCTAACAGTGTTCAGCACCATTCGATTTCATGGTCATTCTCAGCGTAGTCACTACGGCGAGCTCTGGCCTTCCGAGCCTTGTTAATTCTGTTAACGACTTGTCTGCATTGGCTAACTGCTCTGTAGAGGCAATCTCCTCCTTATTTTAAGGGAGACGACACCACCTATCAAATATAACTCGGATTTGAATGCTTTCTCCTGTTTCGTCTAATTATTGAAGCATGGTGGTCACTGGAGGAGTAATCACCCGGGGGTATTATTTCTGAAATTTATGCAGAGCGAAGTGGAATATATCAGTATAGCAAACACAGGGACAATCCCAGGGCCCCCTGGAAGGAGCAGGAGAAGGGAGAAGGGGAGAGGGAAGGGAAGGAGAGGGAGAGATGGGCTGGAGGGGAGGGCTCAGGCAGGGGTGGCCACAGGATAGGGTGCCACAGCCAGGAACCATGAGGCGCTAGTTATCCTCAGCAAGGGAAAGGGTGGCGATTACACAGGCGACATCAATTCTCAGTAAACTCATTTTTAACGTCATGCTTGTTTTGCCAAATTATGGTGTGGCTTCAGCGTCCTAGATGGTTGATGGGTGAAACATGCAAGAGGAAGCTTCCGTTGCTGTGTGCAGGGGCTGCGCGTGGTGGGCCAGGCAGCCAGTCACCAGCGGTGGCGTGCATGCGTGCCGGGCACACACGGGCTGGGGCCGCTGGCGTCCCTGGGATAGTGGCCGGTGCAGCACAGGGAGGTGCTCAGTCAGGGGGACAAGGCAGGTGGCCCTGGGGAGGGTATTTGTTGGCATGTCTGGGGAGAGAAGGCTGGAGGGCTTCAGGGAGTGCCACACTGGAGAGCTGGGGCCCTCTTCTGTAGGCCAGCGCTACCATCTGTGGGAGTCCAGTGCCTTTCGTGGGAAAACGAATTAGCAGGTGAATGCCGTCAACAGAGCACGCAAAGCTGAACTCATTCAAGACCATGAGGGAAGGGCCGGCCAGATAGCTCAGCAGACCAAAGCACCTGCTTAGGGACTTAGGGCTCAATCCCCAACGTGCCATGCCGGCCCCACCCCCAGGGTGTGCTGAGACGGCAACTGAATTGGACGTAGAGGTGTGCGCCTGTAATCCCAGCTCTTGGGAGGCTGAAAATGGAAGGATCACTACGAGTC